ACTTGCCCATCCCAGGGGTGGACATTAAGAGATTCCAGTGAGATAACCACCCACTAAATATCCCTGTCTTAGAAGAGGATTAGTTTTTCATCTGTATGACACAGCACAGAGCTTGCTGCAATGCAGACACCACGTGGCTGGGAGCAAGCCCATGTACCTACATATGCTCTCAAAATGTCCCTCAGGGTTTGGAACAATTTCCCCAGTAACTGATGCTTCCCTCCACCTTCCACATAAATCTTCCCTTTAGATCTATTTGTCCTGTCAGTTTTTATGGTTTAGTTGTCAGTTCATGACTCTGTCACTTTGAATTTGGTCTGATCTTTTTTTCACTTCACCCCATTAATTAAATGAGCATTTGTCAGTTATGTGCAACCACTGGGTGCGTTTGCTGGATCACAGCGTTTCTGTACACCTGATCTGGAGCACGTGGGCCGCACCCACGCCATGGCTCATCTCTTTCATAACAACTGCACATCTTGAATGTGAAAGGCTGCTGTTCATGGCCTTAATTCCCTTCACTTACACCCTCCAGTGCCTCCCATGCAAAGACAGTCTGTCGCACGGAAGGAATTAGAAGCAGAAACTGAGTGACTTTCCTGTTCAAGTTGGATTGGGCTGGGCAAGTCCCACTAGGAGAGAGCCACCAAGGGCATCTGAGAAGCCACCAAGGGCAGAGCTGCTAAGCAGGAGGAGCAGGGAAATCAACAGCCAAACTACCCAACAATTAAGTAGAATAGATAGTTGAAACTTGTTCCCCTTTTTATTCAAACTTCCCTGTACTTAGTTGATGCAGTGATGCATACCAGTGGTATCCTTTGATATCCACCGCTCATGGAGCACAGGATGTTTTTTTAAAAGTGCTGTGGAGGGGGGCATTCTGCTTACAGGCTCCTTTTCTGTGCTTCCCTCTCAGTCTCATTTGTGCATCCAAGCAGACATTTTCCTATGCAAAATAGCTGAGTTAGTAGCACTGGTGAAGCCTTAAAGCCTACAAGACCATGGATGTGCTTCATAGCTCAAGGCTGTACCCCAGCAATCCCATACGTTAAATATCATTTGTATAAGCAGTCACAGGAGCCACTCAGAGAGTCTGGCTGTGAGCTGGATAAAAACAAAGCCACCCAAAAAGTCTAGCTGGATTTGTAGAGTAAGACAGGAATCCTGCATGCCCGTCTGTCTGTCCTGTTCATGGGTCCACTCATTTTAGTCAAGGGTTGATCCCTTAGTCAGAGCTGTTGGCATCACTCTGCGCACACTCAGCCTGAAACCTGTCCAGGACAGCTCGTCCATGGGACCTGCCAAGCTGCCTGAGGCTTTCCTAGGGAGTGGTTTGGGGATGCTGCCAGGCAGCATCGTGTTTGCTCCAGCACCCAAGGTCAAGAGAACTACAGGAGTCTGAACCTCTCTACCTTATGCAACTGATGTCCTTTTGAGGGTTCCTAAATTTGTAGCAGATTAGGCTGCCAGTGAACCTCTCTGGCTTTACAGCATAATAATAACAATAATAACAATATTAATAATAACAGTCCAATATTTGGACTGTTTTCTCTGTAATATAAGAAAGATATTTGGATGTAAACAATCTTATTATTTGGGGACAGCAACAAAACTCCCACTGGCCTGTAAGATAATATAGATAAAAAGTATAAATTCTACTTTATATATGAACTCAGACAGCAGACAAGTCAATTGCTGAAGAGCTGAAAAAGGGATTTTCATGGAACTTGTGAAAATGAGAAACCTAGAGAATTAAACTGTAATTAATTTCTTCCAGTATTTCTGGGCTTATTAAAATATCCAAACCCAGAAGCCTATAGTACAGTCTATTTAAGATCCTTTAGCATTTCACGGGAATATTTTTATAAATGGCAGGTCTTAATTTGTGTAGTTTTTAATTAGTGATAGCTGAACATATACCTGCTGTATATAACCTTAGCAAAATATTGTATTATATATACACATATAAATCTTTTGTGGTATATATATTCTACCTAAAAACATATTTTTAAACACACAAAGTATTTAAAAATTTGTGTACTATTCTTGGAAAGAATTCTGAAGTCTTGTGATTTACTTAACTATTATGTTCAAGTACTTCACTTTTCTTTCTTCTCTAGCAAAAAAAGATGCAACTGCCCCCACCCCAAAAACTAGAAGAAAATGGCCCCTAAAAGACTAAATATTTTTTTTTCATTTAAAATACTTTTCTCTAAGAAAGTACATAATTTCTGAGGGGGAACATTCAGCTCACCCTTGAAAAGCAGGAGGAGCATTACTAATTGCTTCATGGTTTCAACATGCCTTTTACTTAGAAAATGTTACCCCTTTTAATGAGGAGATGAGCACTGACAGGAATGGCGAAACTCCTGCTGCCCCTCGGGAAGTTGGATTTTCCCTCCTTCTTTCTTGCTCAGCATTGTTCTGTGAGTCAGTGTTATAGCTGCAGCTGGTGCCCAGGAATTTTTGTCTCTGTCCCAGTTGATGACCCCTACACCACACGGTCCTCCTCTGTATATTGCCTTCCTGAGCAGTCCCTGAAATCCCCAGCCAGCTAACACCCAGCTGAGGAATGCAGCCCTTCCTCATCTCCTGCTCCCTATTGCGGGCGGGGTGGAAGCGCGTGAGAAAAAGGCTGTGAGGCGACATCCCTAACACGGCCTGACACCTCTTCATCCTGCTATTGTGCTGGTTCCTCCAACACAGTTTAGAAACACCCTCCAGAAACTCAGTTGCTTCCCTTTCTAAAAATAGATGGTTGATTTTTAGCCTTCTGGAGCAGTCTTGGCAGACAGCACGATCTAAGGGATCTAACAAGCAGCACAATAGCTGAACAGGGATTCTCCAGCCCACCCATTGCTCTCGGATACAGTGTCCCAAGGGTGATCCTGAGAAAGGTGTCCCTCTCCCAGGACTCTTTCCACATCTCCCAGAGCTGAGCTCCCTGCCTGCAGGAACAATAGGTGGTCATACCCTGTAGAAAGATGGAGTGCACTGTCCCTGTGCTCCTGGGAGCTGTTCTCCACTTTTCCCAATGCACCTTAGGCAGTGGCCTTTGATTGACCTTCACGATTTCACACAGCAGCTAGTGAAATTGCACCTGCAAAACACTAATGAAAGAAACATCTGCTGTTGCAGCTGTTGTCAGTGGCTTGCATTGGAGATTTCTTTCTTTTCCACCTAATAGTCAAAAAGCTGTTTGTAAAACTTCAAATTATAATTTGAAGCTATTTACCTGCTTTGGCTTAATGCGCTCTTGAGTTCTAAGGTGTAGATATGCAAAGTGTAATGTAAATGCAAATGTAAAGTGCTTTAAAGCCACAGGCTGGATCCTAAGGCTGAATGAGCATCCATAAATTCAGAATAGTGAGCTGTT